GACAATTTCGAAAAAACTAATGCTGAAAAGGGAAGTTCACAGAAATTGGATGAAATATTTGATCTCCTCAAAAAAGTAGCCGATCATATGTTTTCTGGTAAGTTATATTTAGTACGTGAAAACAGCCAGTGCCACATTAGTCCCCGTCTGCAATAGCTGTTTTAAGCCCTAAGCCTTAAGAAATTGTTCAATCACAGTTGAATTTGAGGAAAATCGTTGACTGTGATTGGTCAATTTCTTAGGGCTTAGAACACCTGTTGTAGACGGGCACTTACGTTAGGGATACCCTATATATTTCATGATCTTAACTCCTTATCAAGCGTCCATAAAAATTTTGCAAAATTCATAATTTTAAAAATTAATTTTTTCGCTATCCCTATCATTCTTTCTATAATTTGCCGCCCCGGGCTATAACCCCCTCAGCCCAAGCCTTAATTGGCACTGAAAACAGCCTAGTCAAAGTGATGTCAATATTGTCAATATGACATCAAAACCATCATTTATCATTACTTTCTCTACCTGGAATACAAGCAAAATTAGGTATTATATTTATGTGTTAATTCATCGATAATAATTGAAAATAATATTTTAATTTATCGATGAATTATTATATATATGTACATGTGATTTTGTAAACATTTTTCATACTAAATTACTGTCAATACACTTTGTACGAATACAAATAATGAAGAATTATTGTAATTAGATTTTGATACGAAAATTGCATCAGATGCAAATAAATCTTTACATAAAAATACCGACAAAAATGAAAGTAGTCCATCAATGCTCGACTTTAGACCTCTAAGAAAAAGATCTCGACTTGCATTTTATCCTGTAGTCAAGGATGCAACTGTTATTGAAAATATTACATTAGTAAACAATAACAAGACCGATATCGAAGACGAAACTTGTTATCTGCCTGCAGAACAAACTGCAAATAATGAAGAATTATTAGAATTATCTTCCGATACAGAAATTGCATCAGATGCAAATAAATCTTTGCATAAAAATACCGACAAAAATGAAAGCAGTCCATCAATGCTCGACTCTAGACCTTTAAGGAAGAGATTTCGACTTGCATTTTATCCTGCAGTCAAGGATGCAACTGTTATTGAAAATAGTACATTAGTAAACAATAACAAGACCGATATCGAAGACAAAACTTTTTATCTGCCTGCAGAACAAACTGGAAATAAAAACGAAATGGATAATTTTAATTTGTATGACATAGAAAACAAGCCACCTAAAAAAGAGACGTTATTGGATAAGTTTAATATGTAAATATCACTTTATAATTGTGTTAATGTGTGTGTGTAAGTTGCTTTTAATATCTAATGAAAACATTATTTACAGATGGTCAAAAAGAAAGGACATTTCAGAGCAGCGTAACATACGATGTAAAGCTGAGAGAGCAAAATTAACCGGCTGGGATTGCTGGGAATGCAGAGAAGTAATGCAACATTAACAGTATAGTTATATGAGATATAAATAAATAAATAAATAAATAAATATAAATAAATATAAATATTTTTCTTATAAAAAATTAATTCATGATATTTGATTTTCAGTATTATAACAATTTGTCGTTATCAAAAGAAAATTTGCAAAAACGAAAGAATCAATGCTCGCGACATCGACGCAAATATGAACGACCAAATACACCAGAAGGTATAATATTTTATTTTATTATCACTTTTTTATGTTATACTATATCTATAATAAATATAATCTTTTTAAAGGTTTTTGGAATCCGATTTTTCCTGAGACATTATCCACTTTGACAGAATAAAGGTGAAACATTATCATAATATGACGTGTACAATTCTTTGTTAAGGGAGAGTGGAGTAATTACGAATACCTAAGCAAAAAATCAAATAAAACAAAACCTGATTCAGAGACTTAGTGTGTATTGCTTGTTATGTACTGCAACCAATCATTCACAAACTTTTATTATCAACTCCTATTATTCCACATCCATATGTTGTCACTTTGACATTTTGACTAGGTTGTTTTCATTGATATACTTAGCAGACTCATTACAGGAAAAAGGGTTTATTTGTATTTTTTTCTTGCAAAAATTAGAACTAAAACTATACAAAATATTTTTTTTATAATTACTATAATATATTTTATAATTTTCTTTAATAGATACAAGCCAAGATAAACGAGATACACCAAAGAGTAATGAAGATGAGCAAATTACCTGTGAAATACAAGATGTTCATATATCTGCAGATGTATATAATAACATAATGAGAGAAAAGGAACCTAGCCACTTTATTACTAATATGTCGTATGCAGTGTGGGGACCAGAGGTATTAGCCAGTCGTTGCGTTAGATCGCAATCCAATGTGGTAGAACCTGAGTTGACTCCAACTAAAAAATATGGCATTGTTAATGAGTTTGAAAAATGGATGCGGATCAAACGCAAAATGCCACAAATGTTAATTGACGAACAATTACATCGTTCTAAAGTTAACAAGTACTTTAATGGTGCAATAACTGCCGCCCGCAAGAAACTCAACTACAAAATGAAAAGAACATTGAGCCAAAAAGAAGCAGTTGAGAATAAAATAAGAGCAGAAACAACGAAGGAAGGAGGAGAAGAAGACGAAGAAGAAGACGAAGAAGAAGAAGACGAAGAAGAAGAAGACGAAGAAGGAGAAAAAGAAGAAGAAGCAAGTGATGATATGAGCAATGAGACAATAATAATGAGCGATAAGACAATGGACTATGAAACATATATGAAAAACCAGCGGTCAATCAAAAAAATTAGAAAATAAGTGATATAAATGATAAGAATTAATAACACTAACATATATATGTAAAAATTTTGTTGCTTACCTACCTGATACTTATTAATACACTTATTATAATAATACTTACCTATTTGAATAAAAATTTAAAATTTGGATAATTAAAATTACTTTTTAAGAATAATAAAAAAATTATATTTAATTTATATTTATTTCAAAGTCCTATATTTATTTATATTTGCGTAACACTTTTCGTTTTAAATATCATGAATTTATATGAATTGTATAATATAACAGTGTTTTTTTTAACATTTAATTAATTTTATACGTCATTTAAATTGTTTACATAGTTAAATTGTTTTGTAAAAGTTGTAAATAAAAACAATATAGGTCTGTTTCTATCTCTGCATTGCTGAACTAGTGCACACTGGTGCAAAAGTTAAAGTGACAAGCATACTTTGTTTCACTCTAACTTACTGCAACAGTGTACATTATAATAGTGTACACTGTTGCAGTAAGTTAGAGTGAAACAAAGTATACTTGTCACTTTAAATTTTGCACCAGTATGTGCACTAGTTCAGCAGTGCAGGAATAGAAACAAACCTTATTGTGCATAGAAAGTTGTAGATTTCAGCATAGTTTGATGTAAAAATGTTGAACACATGTCGCATACTTACATCTAAAAAGTTGTAGTTTTGTCATAAAAATTTCTACGTAAATTTATGAAACACTACAAACATGGCCCAAATCGCGCACTTTTGACGTAAAAATTACGTAAAAATAGTTTTAAAAGTTGTAATTAGATTAGAAGAAATTGTAGTTTTCACGTAATTTTCGCGTAATTTTCGCGTAAAAAATTGGATAATTATTTCCACCAGGGGTGCCCTTCTACTCGCATTTGTTGCAGCACTCGATATACTGTACTTTTCTGTAATACGTTAAACGTATATTTTAATGATTAAATTAAATAATGCAATATAGCTAGACGAGTTTAATGACTTGTAACTTATCCAAATAGAGAATAGAATCATAAATGCATGGATACTTTACATTTACGTGACATATTCTCGAAACCTCTGTAACCGTCAATCCTGCATTTGTATATGCAAGTATTTCACCTCTAACACGTTGCGGAGTAGGACCAGGCATTTCAATATTGTATTTATATATAACACAAATATTTAACGTTAAAAATGGTTAACTCGTCTCAGTTTAATAACGCTAACACGTTGTCAACATAAACAAGTTGTCAATTGTTATTATGTAGGAAGATATATCTGAAGATATCTTATTGACAACTTGTTTATGTTGACAAGCCAAATCTCCGGATATGAATGTGATCGAAAATCTTTAGGGCATAATTGTTCAAGAGTGGAATCCAAGAATTCGGCGTACACGCGAGGAACTTGAGCAACACGTCCTTAATGTGTGGGAGGGTTTCCGCGCAAGGCCCGCGCTATTCCACTATTTAGTGCACTCTATGCCCCAAAGATTAAGAGCGGTGCTAGACAACCATGGAAGTGTCACGCGGTATTAATACTATGTGACCTTCCATGGATTATGCATGAATGAATGTTTGATATTGAATGATTGTAGCTTGAACAATCTCGATGAAATATTATATTATAGTTTAATAATGTTTCTATATTTTAAAATATAGAAACATTATTAAACTATAATATAGAATGAACGTAATGAATAAATGAATGAATGAATGAATTAATATTGAATGAGAGCGTTCTAAGGTAAAAGCTATTCGAGGTAATTTTAAAGTTTATGCTTTTTTTAATTTCCACTACCGTCGTCATATGATCGGTCTCCTATATATATATTTAAGAGAAGTTCTCACCTCAGGTAAGACACCGTACCTGAAACATATTACTCTTTGAGTAAATTACTTTGTAAAATTCAAAATAGAAAAAGTTTATAAATAATTAAATTGAGCTTATTTTTCTTCTTTTTATAGAGTATATCAGGCAATCATACCTATATATGACTGCCTCTTCCTTCCACGGCCACTTACCTTCCTTTGATCGTCGAGCGCATCCAACGTCCGCGTTGATGCTCGCTATCGGCACGGGTGGAATTGCGAGTCCGAGCGAGCGAACACCGTCTCGTGCACCGTCGCGTCGTCCTCCCCAACGTTGCCGTCGTCGTCGTCGTCGTCGTCGTTGGCGCCGTTCGTCCGAATGTCTTGGCCGAGCTGAGTGAACGCATACTCTCTCTCCGTCGCGCGGGGTGTTGAGCCTACCAGCTTGCGGTGTGTGTGCTATCGACGTGGTGATACCACACTGCAACGAGAGATTGCAGTTGTTCATCAGTTATTCGTAATAATCATATAAATTAGATAAATATAACGATCACATAAATTATACAAATAATCATATAAATAATAATTGTTATAATTAATAATATACCAGCCATGCCGTTATCATGATGGTCCGCATGATCGGCGATGAATTCCTCATGGAGGAGCGGGACCGAAAGTACTACGCCGTGTTTGATACTGCACCTACTGGGCACACATTGAGGCTACTATCGTTTCATCACACAGGTTAGAATTAATCCATGTTATTTCACCTAAAATTAATACATTTTAACATTAGGTACATCAAGTATCTTCCCTGAATTATTTAAATTGAAAAAAAGATTTTTTTTTATAGATAAGTTCGTTGTTGGGATTAACGGATTTTAATGTGGATACATTTTTCAATAAGATGGAGGAAATGCTTGCTGTCATTCGACAAGTTAACGAACAATTCAGAAATCCACAACAGACGACATTTATATGTGTCTGCATAGCAGAATTTTTGTCGCTTTATGAGACAGAACGACTTGTACAAGAATTGGTACAACAAAATATGGTATTGATACCCATAATATTATAGTGAACCAACTGTTATTTTTGAAAGAGGGTGATACTCCTTGTCGGCTGTGTCTTGCAAGGCATAAAATTCAAGATAAATATATCTAGAGCAGGTAATTAACGTTGTATTTATAGCTGATATTTTAATTTGTTTTTCGTAATTCTTTTAGAGCTAAATAATTATTAGAGAATAATAATATTTCATATTTATTGCTTTGTCAAATTCTTGAAAGATAAATTAAATGATTTTTTTTTCTTTTTAAGATAATGGACCTTTATGAGGACTTTCACGTCACGCATCAGCTTCCATTGCTAGAAAGGGAAGTGCGTGGAGTTCAACAGATCAGGGAATTTTCGGAAAATCTCGTTAAACCGTACAAACCTTAGCATTCTATGTAACAAATGTTTAATAACAATATAACTTTACACCTAATTCAAGATTTTATCACTTACAACATTGCGCGTTGGAAATTTGTATAAAAAAAGGTACACCTTTAATATACTGCTCAATTAAGATATTTGTTATTGCACGTGTTAATAAATTCAACGTTCAACATTCGCATGCACTTATATACTTGCAATATTTAATTTGTATAATACAAATAAGCTTAAATATATAGCGTTAACACTGCGATTTATTTATTTATATAATGAAACAGAATGCATATTGGAGACAGAATCAATCATTCAATTTTTCTTTGCCGTTATTAAAAATGTATTTATTAAATTACCGCAAGTTCTTTTCCAATTTGTATGAAAGCACCTACCGCACGATCTATATCTTCGGTCGAGTGCGCTGCGCTAATCTGAACACGTATTCTTGCTTTATCTTTTGGTACCACGGGATAGCTGAATCCAATGACGTAAATTCCCTTTTCTGTAAAAAAAAAAAAAAAAAAAAAAAATCATTCTCGTGCAATATAACAGAATAAGTCGTAAAACTTTGATAATATATGGTAGGTGTTGTATATTTTATCATTGAATAGTTCATTTCTTTAAAGATTTTATAATTTATATGAAAATATATTCATACCCATCATTTTATCTGCAAATGTTGTTGCTAATTTTGCATCACCCAACATAACAGGACAAATAGGATGGTTATCGCCGCTGACAATGACTCCAGCTTTAGTCATCGCATTTCTGAAATGCTCGGTATTGCCTGCTAAACGATCCAAAAACTTTGTGCTGTCTGTTATAAGATCCATCATCTGTTAATAATGTATAAAGTAATGTTTAAATTAGAAAAGTTTAAATAGCACAATAAAAGTTTAATATCACTGCCGATCACTACGCATGCTGCCTGCTGCCCACCGCCTCTCTTCATCATCTTCATCACCCTCGTGAAGCTGGGCTTCTTCACGTATTACACAGTGGCGATGGGTTGAGGTGAATCCCTCCGGGTCGATGCCGATCGACAGTGTCTTCATTTACAGACCGGACAAGCGGCTCGAGCTTTGGAGATTCACTTTCTAATCTTTCAGATCTGTATAAGAATTTGTAACGATTGTAACTGTTATTGTAACGATACTTTTTGAAGCTGCATAATAAAAAACTGATATAAAACTGATATAAAACCTTCTAGTTTGTAATAAACAAGTATTATTCTAATAGCTGTGTTCTTTCGCCATTACCGATGAGTCAAATTATGTCGACAGATGATCGTATAAAATCCCATATATCACAAGTGGCATGAAGAAAATCATACTGTTTTAATAGCTGTCCAATTAGTGGATTGTTGCCTATTATTCTCTTTTGCAGAAAGAGTGACCGCAAAAACAGGCTAAAAATAGCCTCTTTTTTCACCCTTGAATTTAGACTTCTACTTACAAGTACTAAATGATAGTCTATAATGAGTCATGAATCCTCAGAAAGTTTCAGATTTAGCTGGCTTTTTATTTTCAAGATATGGAGGGGTCAAAGTTGTTGATTTCACCAACTTTACAGGCCCACAAAAAGTGAAAAGTTGTCTGCGCCATGGACTAGACTATGGTATTCCAATGTATTTTTGCCTGCTGAAACCGAATGTGACCTCAGTTTTGCTCCTACACGTCATAATTTTTTTCTACAACCAAAAACAGGGTGTTTTGTAGGGGCAAAATACCTTGTTTTTGACTGTAGAAAAAAATCTTATTAATACAAACAAAATGTTACAAAAGTATTTAGAAATAACATAAAGAATTAAAAATTTTCCACAGACTTTTAAAAATAATATAATAATACGTAAAAATAATATAAAACCTTATTTAAAAGTAAACATATTTCTTGCGCTTGATTTGAAACCGATTATTTCGATATTTCAACGTTAACAGAATATGTATTAATTTTTATACTCACAATATAAAAATAGTTTCAGCTAACTATAATAAATAAATGTAAAGCATACACAGTAAAAAATAATAAGAATCCGATATGTTGTGCCCCCTTTTTGGGACACTTGGGATTCGATTTTTCCAAGGAGGAGGCGGGAGGCAAATGATAAACACTTTTGGATGCAATAAACACGACTTTTACTAATTACTTCTCCTTTACAACTTATTTCGTACAAGACCCGTTCGTCGCTGCCCGACTCACATTGCCCCCTCGTCTCCTGTTGTCGCTTCCTTTTCAATCCTCGTCCTGTCCTTCGATATCGCTGAGTTGCTCGATCGTATCTGGGCCGATCGCGCAACTCATCTTTTGCTGATTCGGCGTTGCGTAATTCTCTCGGGCTTTCGCGGTCGCGTTCCCTATTGTTATTTTCGGTCTTTCTTAATATTATTCTTATTTTATTATAACATTTTAATTGGGGCCGCAACATCCCTCCCCCTTTGAGAGAAGGAAACTACGGTCTGTAGTTTTCGTTACAATTTTTTCGCTGCTTATCCTATTTCTATTTCTATTAGGGTGATTTATTTTCTTTATTTGTTTCTGAGATTACATTCTTCTTATTTTTTAGTATAGTATCGCTGAGTCGCCCTGTCCGTGCGGTCGGGCGCTTGCTCGCTTCTTATGTCTTTTTATTACATAGATGATTATTCCTACTATGCTTAATATAATTATTAACGTAAGTGTCGATCCTACGGGATATATGACGTAGGGATTTTTTATTAGGGTGTCTTGGGATTTTTCCAATTCTTTATTTATATCGCTTATTTCTAGATTTAACTCCATTAATTCGTTCGGATTCCTAATTACAGGTTCTAATCTAATTTCTTTTTTCGTTTGTTTGTTAATATTTTTATTTATGTTTGTTAGCGTTAGGTTAAAATCTGCTAGGTGCATTTCTATTTGTCTCATAGTCGTTTGTCTTTTTGTTTTTATAATAATGTCGGGTGTGGTTAGTTTACAATTTTTGTTTATACTTAGTTTTCTTGTTCGTTCGATTTCTACCTTTTGTTCCGCCTGATCGTTACATTGGATCGCTATCTTTTGTTTTCTCGGCGCCGAGAACAGCCACGCCTGTGGTTCGCTCAACGCTACCCACAAGGTTACGTCTGACACCATTTGCCGCCTCTCGCAGGCGTTTACATATCCCGGCGTCCCCACATAAACTTGCACTTCGCAGGGTGCGTTGGTCCCCACAAAATATATCGGGCAGTTTCGGTCACATACGTACTCTGCTCCGTTTCGTTTACAGTCGTTTAAATCGCGTTCCTCTAGCGTTATGTAATTATGATTCTCTTTGTCTATTGCTAATATGTTGTGAGTAGCTCTTAGGAATGTGAAAATATTCGCGTGGTTAGGGACAGGTAATGGTGTCGTTTTTATTATGTCATACACGGGGTATGCTACCACGGGGATTATCGTATAAATGTTCGGTTTATCATAATATGCGCTAATTTCTACATAGTTTTGTATCTCGTTCCAATTTTCTACTCTAGTTTTAAACGGAAAGTGGGATCCCTGCGTCAATTGTGACGTTGCTTCTTGTAGTTCGGTTGTTATTTCTTCTATTGGCAATAGGCGGGTGAGTATTACTCCTTCCCGCGAATATGTGAGGTAGTCTATGGTGTCCTTCACGTCTTCCATTAGATCCTCTGTGATTGTGGTTAGTATTAAAAGCTGTTCGTCTATTTCTTCTCTTTTGGCGTACAGTGCTGTTTCCAGCTGTATCCGTCTCGTGACGTTCGCCATCAGTTGTTCGTTGTGGTATAACGATTTTTCTAAGGCCTCCATGTGGCCTATCGTGGCATTTATCACCTTTAATTGGCTTTTTGCGGTGTGCCGTAGAGTCTGTTGCTGATTTTGCATCAGTTCAAGCTGCTCCTGTATGTGTTTTGCATCGTCGGCATCCATAGTGCCGAACAGCGTTTTGCTGATCGTGCCGATCGCGTCTATTAGCCCTCGCTTCTTATTAGTTGTTTTATATATAGTCTGTAATCGCGTTAATAATTGCGTTAATTTTTTGTTATTTTTCTCTATTGTATGTTTTTGCACGTCTGCTGCGTGTCCTTTGCGATTATCGTTTCGCATACTTCTTCGGCTTGCTGTAGAAATTCCTGAAGTTGGTGATATCGGTTTCCTAGGGCTGCTACGTCGATTTTAATCGCTAGTTTCCAAGTAGCTTCTACCTGTTGCAATTGTCCGGTTCTCTCAAAGTATATTCCCGGCTCGCTGCTGAATTGTCGTATCTCGTACGATGGTGCTGTCTCAGGTTTCGCTTTTTTCGCGAAGTGCTGGACGACGATCAGCGTCCTGTAAGATAAGGACTCATGTTACCTTTCTTCGAATTTTTACCTTGGCTTGATAATGCCTTCTCCTCGCGTTTTTTCTCTCCTCGCGCGTTTAGTTGCTCTTGCGACGTGATTCAGAGAGAGTACTTTTTGTTTGCGCTAATTTGTGAAATGAGGTGCCGTCTTTGCAACCGTTTTTTTTGTCCCGACGACGTGCGACGCATGCTGGCGCACGTATTGGCTCCGCGCTGCTCGTGCGGGTGCCGTAAGTGAGGGTGCCGCGCCTAGTGCGCGGATTGCGGCAAATTTGGGTTCGGGGCCGACGTCGCCCCCTCCCACCTACGCAGAAACGTTGCTAACGCCCCCGGACACCTGGGTGCATCTTCTCCACCCCCTGGAGGTCACCTTAGATGTGGCCACCGGACGTCGTGTGGTGCGACGTGTTTGATGTTCGGTAAGTACTTATTGTCTAATTTTCGTTAGTTTTTACTATCGCCTATTTTCTATTGCCTACTTCCTATTGCTTGTTTTTGTTCTTCTACGCTGTTTTTACTGTTCTATAAAGGGCTTTAATCGGTTTACGTGTACTCGCGTGGTTTTCCGTCCCTTTTTGATCGTATAATTTACGTCTGAGTGTTTTTCAATTACTTCGTACGGTCCTATCCACGGGGATTCTAATTTTTTCGATCTCCCTCTATGCACCGTTTCGTCGTGCAAGAGAACTTTGTCTCCCACTCGGAAATTGATTTCTTTTGTCTTCTTATCATACGTCTCCTTGGCCTTAGATTTTTCGTTTCGCAAATGTTCTTTTGCAACTCGTTGTGTCGCTCTTAATTTTTCTTTTAGCTCTTGCGCGTAATTGTCATAAGTATACGTTGGTTTCGGTGGTTGCGACAGTGCCGTCGGTAGTGTCGCTCGGTGCCCGTATACTAATTCGAAGGGTGTAAACCCGGTCGCTGTGTGTGGCGTCGTGTTATACGCGAACATTGCGTATGGCGTCCATTCGTCCCAGTCTGTCTGGTCCGCGTTAATATAATGTCGCAAATATTCGGCTAATGTTCTATGAGAGCGTTCCAATGCTCCATTACTCTCGGGATGGTAGGCCGTTGTTTGAATTTTTTCTATCTTCAGTAATTTACACGTGCTTTTAAATATTTCGCTAAGGAAATTCGTTCCTCTATCCGTCAGTATTTTGTCGGGGATACCGTATTCAAAGATAATCTTTGTGACGAATTCTTTCGCGATTGTATTCGCTTCTTGATTAGGTACGGGTATCGCCTTACTGAATTTTGATAAATTATCCTGAAACGTGAGGATATATTTATTTCCGTTTTCGGTCACCGTCAGTGGTCCTACTATATCTAGAGCACATTTTTCGAACGGTTTGTCCGCGGTGTCTGTTATTACTAAGGGTGCTTTATTTTTTCGCGATAACTTGTTCTTCTGACATAGTTCGCATTTATTAATGTAGTCTTCGACGTCTCGAGTTAATCCTCTCCAATTATGCGTCAACCTTATTCGGTTTATGGTGCGTTCCACACCCTGATGTCCTCCTACAGGTGCATCATGGTATTCGTATAATATACGTTGCTTCTCTTCTTCTGTGTATTTTCTTTCGCTCTCCTCTTCGTTATTCTCTTCTTTCTCTATCTTGTTGATATCTGTCGGCACATGTCGACTCAGCGCATCCGCGTTTCTATTCTCTTGACCGGCCTTGTGTACGATAGTGTAATCGTATTCTTCTAATTTTAATCTCCATCGGATTAATTGTGATCCGGGGTCCTTTACGTTAAATAGCCAAACCAATGATTTATGGTCTGTCACGATGGTAAATTTTGTTCCATAAACGTATGGTCGGAAGTGTTTCACCGCCCATACTATCGCTAGTAATTCTTTCTCGGTAGTATTGTAATTTTGCTCGGCTTTAGATAGTACTCTGCTCGCATACGCCACGAGTTGATCTTGACCTATCTTTCCCTGTGACAGTATGGCCCCTAATCTGACGCGTCGGTCGTTACTACAAATTCTTGGGAGAAGTCCGGGTATTTTAATACCGGTGCTGTGGTTAGTTTTTCTTTAAGTATTTCAAATGCGTTTTGTTGTTCTGCGTTCCACTCGAATTTGCTATCTTTTCTGGTCATTTTTGTGAGTGGCTTGGCGATTGCTGAAAAATCTTTAATAAATCTTCGATAATATCCGGCTAATCCTACGAAAGCCTGGATGTCCTTTACTTTTGTTGGTCTCGGGAAGTTTTTTACTGCTTCTAATTTTGAAGGGTCTGGTGAGATTCCGTTTTCTGTTATTACATGTCCGAGATACGTCACTTCTTTCCGAAGGAATTCGCATTTATCGGGCTGTAATTTCAAATTATATTTTCTCAGTCTTTTTAGCACTTCAATTAATCTCTTATTGTGCTCTTGTAAACTTGCTCCGTATATTATTATATCGTCTAGATAGACTAAGCATTGTAATCCTACTAGTCCTGCTAAAACGGCTATTATTGCTCGTTGAAATGTCGCTGGGGCATTTTTCAGTCCAAAAGGCATTCGATTATACTCGTAATGTCCGTATTGTGTCGAGAACGCTGTTTTTTCTTTATCTTTTTCTTCCATCGGGATTTGATGATATCCCGAGGCGAGGTCTAGCGTGGTAAAATATTTTGCTTTTCCCAGTTGATCTAGGATATCGGTTATGTTTGGCAATGGGAAGGAATCTCCCTCCGTTAGGTCGTTCACAAACCGAAAATCTATTACCACTCTCAGTTTTAATTTTCCTGATGCGTCTCTTTTCTTCGGTACTACTAGCAACGGCGCATTCCACGGGCTCGTGCTAGGTCTAATAATTCCGTTTTTCAACATCTCTTTCACTTGTCTATTCACTTCTTCCTTGTGCTTTTCTGGCAAACGGTACGGTCGGACGTTGACCGGTACGCTGCCCGCCTTCGTGGTAATCTTATGCGCGACGATATCAGTGCATGTCAGTGGTTCTCCTTCCACATGCAATACATCGCTGTAATCTCTGCAAATTTCCATAATGGTTTTCTTTTCTTCTTCGTTTAAGTGTTGTGTGCGTATCAATTTTTCGACTTTTTCGCTACGCGGCATTGTTTCTTCTGCCTTGTCTACTTGGTTTATTTCTGTCTCTTTTGCTTCTTCTTGCTCTAACTCTTCTAATGTTACTTGCGGCATTAGCATTTCGACTGTCTTCTCCGTCGTATTTAGTATGCTTGCCGGACATAGAAAGTTTTCTGGCATCACTAGGCAATTTCCTATGAACACTCCTGGCATTGTCTCTTCTGCCTGTATTATTCCTAGTGAATTTTTATCGGTCGCGACTTGCACTATTGTCTCGCTTCGCGGTTTCAAAACCATCTTCTTATACGGATATAATTTTAATGTGCTATTCCCTATGCGTATTGCGCTCGACTCGTAACTATATGACGCTCGATGTTTCTTTATAAAATCTACGCCTAGTATTCCGTCGTATTCTATCGGAAAATCATCCTTGACGACATATATCGTGTGCTTGATCTTTCTATCTTTCAAGTCAATAGTTGCTGCAAATTTTCCAATTGTATGGGCTTTGTGACCTGTTACTCCTGTAAGGGCCATTTTATCCTCTTCTATCATTGTTTCGCCTTTCAAATGTTTTACTTTTATTATTGATACGGCGGCTCCGGTATCGAACAGTAAATTTATTTTTTCGCGCTTCGCTTCTCGCATGGGCAGAGTGATTAAGTCCAGCCCTGCATGCTTTCGCGGCTTGTTCGTCAGGTGTGACACCTGATACTCTAACGCCGGTCGGCGCTGCTTTGTGTCCTCTTTATCTTCCTCATCGCTATTCGCGGCTGAATTACTGTCCTTTTTTCTCGGGCCATTTGTTTTCGGGTGAAAATTTTTATTTTGTCCTCGCGGATTATTAGGTTTGTTGTGATTCGTCCTTTCTCTATTTGGTCGACCATTTAACAACCAACATTCTTCGCGCATGTGTCCTGCCTTCTTGCAGTAATTGCAGACTTTATCTATCGCGTTTACGCGGGGTGTTCTATCGGGTTTCGGTAAGGAGAAACGGTTCGCATATCTATTGGTACGACATTCCCTTCCGAGGTGCCCGTATTTTCCGCATTTTTGGCATTGTAACGTCGATCGGTTATCGCGCGGTTGCGGCGAGTACGCATAATTATTTTTGGGACGCGGCGGAATTCCACTCGGCCCGTTTACTTTTTCTTCGGCGCTCGCTCCGGCAATCGCTTCTTGCAATGTTGCGAAATGCTGAGCTCGGACAAGTAACTTGATCTCGTCTCTCAATCCTAATTGGAAATTCTGTAATGCCTGTTGTTGAATCGTTTCTAATATAGTTCGCTTGCTTTCTATGGTGTGATTTCTTCCCTCTATCATGGAGTCGTATAGCTCCATCGCTAGCTTATCGGCTCTTAATCCGAATGCTCTTGCATTTTCTCCGGGTTTTTGCTTGATTGTATTAAACTTTAGTTGTAAGTGTGTTGTGCTTTTGCGGCTCAAATAGCAAACTTCTAATTCCTTCTTTAGTTGTGCGAAATCTCTTATTTCTCGCGTTTGAAAGTCTATCATCGCTCTTCCTTTTAGCTTTGTGCATAGCACTGCTTCTAATAGCGTTCCTTCCTCCATAGGATTTATGTTTTTCATTGCATATGACGCGGCGCTTAAGAATTCTTGTAATTTACTCGAGGTTCCGTCGAACTCAGGTATTATGTCTCGTGCCTCTTTTAAACGTAGATATCCGATTGCGCGCTCCGCTTGGTTCCGAATATCATATGACGTTCTTCCGTACGTTACTTCGAACGGGAGGTTACTTGGCTCGCGTCTCGCGTGAAATTCGCGGCGTTCAGGATTCGCCGTTTTTAGTTGATTTACGCGATCTTGTAAGTTGCGGATTCCGTTTAATATCTCGTCGAGAATGGAATCTCTATCGTCTCGCGGCGGTTCGGCCCGTGCGGGTATCCGGTTACGGTGATTTGCCGGGGTGCCTCTTTGTGATAGCACTTGATTAAGACGGTTTATTTCTTCGTCTATTTCCTCTGGGGTTATCGGCGCGTTGTCATTTACGTTATTCGCGTCGTGGTTGCTATTTGTTGCTTCCGCCATCTCGATTACGTTCACGTGTCTCGGTGCAGAATAATATTCTTGCGGGTCAAATACGCTGCTATCGTACGAGGTCAATGAGAACTCTCGTCTGTGTGTTCGCCTACTGGTCGTACTGTTCGCGTCTTCGGATTGTGGGTGCGCGTGTGAGGGGTGGAGTCTATTTTCGTCGGGGCAAATATTTTGTCCTATTACTCTCGCGTCTAAAATTATAACGGAATCGTCGATTTGTTCATTGCTAAATAACTTATAACTTGATAAGGACCCAAAGTAGAGGTCGAAACGTTGTTGTATTAATATTAAAATTATTGCCAGTTAGGCTAACGAATTTTTGTGTTTTATTTTGAATGATATATTTATTTATCGTTCAACCTGCAGGTGGTCGTGGGACTTTCCTTGAAAATGGTTCACGGAAGCCATGCCACTCATGCTCATCCACTTGTGAATAACACGCAGAAGAATGTGCCATATACGTTTGCGCAAGGGGACAGTTCCTCGTTTCTTTATATTATCTGCAAGAATATATATGATGGTTACTACAGTCTGCATCTTTGTAAAGCAAATCATATCTGACTTATAATTATAAATATATTAGAATATTTATTGCAAAATAAAATTTTCTCTTATTCCAGTCCTTTGGCAAAATTCTACAACGTATAGAAATATATAACAAATTGTTTAGCTCATATTATATCTTAACTAGATAGACTTATCAAACGTCGCAAAATATGTAAGAGAAATAATTTAAGACTTGAAAGTTATTGGAATTACTCTATTTTTTAATTTAAATATTTTAATTTAAATAGATTTATTTATTTATTTAATTATTTATTTATCTATTTATTTATTTATTTATTTAAATTAAAA